CAAAACACCAAGAAAACAGACAACCACTTGACCCAGACTGAGAGTTCCTAGCTATACCTTGTGGCTAATAGCCACTGATGGATGATACTGGATATAGATCAAACCATGACCAAGTGTATTTTGTTGACATTTGGTAAATTGCTAGGTAGTTCAGCTAGACAGTGATTCCCAGACAAACGGGTGGAATGGTTGGTGGTAGCCAGTGTTCCCTCTAAGCTGAGTTTGTGTGAGCTAGCTCACAGTTTTTTAGCCTCTGGCTCACACATTTTTGTCTCAGCTCAGGAAGGATGGCTCCAGGGCAAACTTTTTTATGCAGTAGCCAAATCACTCACTCACAACTTTAATGCCAGGAGCTCACAAAGTAGAATTTTTGCTCATAAGACTCCACAGCTTAGAGGACGCATTGGTGGTAGCTGCCATCTTTGAAAAGTGGTATGTCTCGAAGTTCCATCTAAAGTCTCCCTATCAAGAGGCCTTCCTTTTTGACCCACCTACAGGCACATTTTGGGTTGCATCCAAAGTACTGTGAGGAAAATGAAGTGCATGGAAGACTTTCCCACCACGAGCTCCCTTGTTTAACCCACTAAGCCCCGCCCTATTCTGTTACTGAAGATCAGGGGAACATCACAAAGGGTGTGGTGGGCGGCTAGGGCTCTGCAATGGGAGGCAGGAATTGGCAACAAATAACCCCCTCCCCTACCAACAAACATAAATGCATAAATGCTGATGGAACACCATCTTTAGATGCAATCCTTCCTAAGAAAACCCGAAGCAGGTTTTTGTAATGTGCGCCAATTGCTCCCAAAATGCCTGCAATAAACCAGGTGAAACAGGCGAAACCTGACACCAAAGGATAAATGGACACAAATCTGACATCAAGAATCACAAAACTGAGAAACCTGTAGGAGAACATTTCAAGTGAGGTCAGTTGGGGCTCCTGCCCGTGACTTTTCTATGGCAGCACCAATACTGTGGAATGGTTTTCCGGTGCAGAAGGGCCTTCCTTTGTTGAAGTTTAGATAACTGTGTAAGGCACAGCTTTGTCGGGGGGCTTTTAATCAGGGATGCTGTGGATGCCATCATTGATATTTGACAGTTGAACTTACCACTTAACCCTCAGAGGTGTCGGTTAGATGCGAGTCGATCACTCGGTCTTTTTGGTTCGTGGCAAAAACCGCTTGCATACTTACGTGGCTCTTCCTCCAGGGATAAAAAGGTAAAGTTTCCCTTGCTCGAAAGCCAGCCGAGTCCGACTCTAGGGTTGCGGTGCTCATCTCCGTTTCCAAGCCGAAGAGCCAGCGCTGTCCGAAGACGTTTCCATGGTCATGTGGCCGGCATGACTAAACAACAAGGCGCACGGAACGCTGTCACCTTCCCACCGAAGTGGTACCTATTTATCTACTTGCAATGTCTTGCTTTCGAACGGCTAGGTTGGCAGGAGCTGGAATTAGAGACGGGAGCTCACTCCATCCTGCGGCACACTCGGGTCTCGAACTGCTGAACTACTGACCTTCCACAGCCTGCAGTTCAGCGTCTTCACCACTTGAGCCACCGCAGCTCCTTCTCCAGGGATAGCCTGCAATAAACCTGCAATAGCTGAAGGAAGGCATTCTGTCAACCGAGTAGTCTTCAAGGATTTGTATGTGGCTATATAAAGGAGCTTTAAGGTCAAGCACAACCTGGCCAGGGAGAAACATGACGATGGGAGAACACTAAGAACACTAAAGAATGCGTCATTTCAAAGCAAACATTCCCGCTGCCGTTAGAGAAATCAAAATATGCTGGCGTGGCCAAAGAAGCAACATGAAATATATATTTTAAAGGTATCCACTATTCCCCTCCCATACTTTGGGTTCAAGCGGCTGAGAAGATCTCACATGTCTGCCCATTAAATATAAACTGCATGAC